AAGCTGGTTCGAGCTTGAGCTGCTTCAGCTCAACAAACTAATCATGCTGCAACAACTGCTTGTTCTCGGGGCCCAGCCACAGCAGTAGGCTGATTTATTCGATTTGTTTCATCTTCCTCTTTAGTAATTACCATTCTCTTTTGTGTTTAAGAATGCTTTTTTAAGGTCTGCAACTTGCTTCATTTTATCCCTGACCTGAAGTTGTTACAAGTATTGACCATATCTCGTTCGTTAAAGCCTAGCATTTTTTTTAACTTGTTTCTCGATTCACTATTTTTAGTGAACATTTTATGCAAAAGGGCAGTTATGTCAGCTTTAAATCTATTCTTTTGAAACTTAAAAAGTAACCGAGTATTTTTTTTCTTGCTAATTACAATGTTTGTATGTTTAGACAACGGGAAGTTAGTCAGCCCCAGTGAGCAACTTATTTCCACTGTAGACGAGATATTCAGCCAGTGTCGTACCACAGCTATCCTGGGGTCTTTAACTTAAATCAAGGTAGTGATACACAACCGCATGCTGTTACAATGTTCATTTACATCGATACAGGCAGAGGCAGAAATTGAACTCAAGATCCCTATGTTCAGCTGTGCGAGCTTTCACTCCACGTGCTCCAAGCTGTGATCCGTTAATGCAGTCGACCACCGATCCCCTTGATGGATATTAGGAATCTGTTTGAATGTACAGCCAGGTGTTTCCTAAACATTGCCACTATTATTTATGTAATGTCTCTTTTATTAGTGCGTAGTCTATGTGCAGCCTCGCTCATTAAATGCTGTTGTCACAGAGTTTTGCCATAGTTTTCATTGAGTTAAGACGTCTCATTTCCTGTCCAGGGGTTTGTGCCTCGCAATCCTCTATGAACTTGCACCGCCTACCAGAGTAAAGTCGACACCACATTGACGAGGCTTGCCCACTGCCTCTTCATTGCGGAGGTGGCGCTGTGTCACAGAGCTTTTGGTTGCTTGTCCAAAGATCCCCAGGTGGTCAAAATTAATCCTCAGTTCTCTGCTGGGGCGTGCCGGATGCCTGTCGTTGGTTTGGTACGTAAAACCCCCAAATTTGACTTCACTGCCTTTTCACTGCACACTACTTCAGTGCCGACGTAGCAATTGGGCCCAAGTTTGCAGTTGGCCACACAGTGATACAGTAATTGAGCAGCGGTTCCTGCTAAACCCTGGTACAGCGCTCACCTCATTCATGCTCGCATTCAGTAATACGTAGTGTGATGCCATCAGTTTGAGTGCATGGGCTCCGCATGCTTGTGTAAGTAACTGTTAGGTAGGACACCCTTGACTGCCTAGCATCCGAAGGTGTCCTCACAAGGAATTGCTGCGCTATTGTAATATTTATTCTAACCGAAAACTTTTCATGTGGGGTCACAGCTGCAAGACATCATTTCAGACATTCTCATGTATAAGTTTATTTCGAACAAATGTGCACTGAACAACTCGCTGAAAAGTCTCGAGTCTGAACACGGCAAAATTTTGAGTTATTTTAATGTAATTACCTGAAGCTTCTCACTTTCTTTGTATCCTGCTACCCCCTTGCTTTGTGTGATGACAAACATTGAATTGTTCTTGAGCAAAATGTTTCCACAACAAAGAGGGCAAGTTGGTCTTGCTTCTTTTGGAAGATTGGTAAGACAGCAACCACCAGCATAGTTTCAAACACTGTCGTCCTGTGGGAACCTGAGTAGAACAAAGACATTGCAACAATCTGTGGTGACCAACTAGCTGAGAAACCGGCGGATTTGTTTCGGTTCAAATTAGAAAGTGTGTGGCCATAGTATAAGGTTGATTTGTTTCTGGCCCGATTGCATTTTGAGCTTTAACATGGCCAGTGACTTGATTCTTCGGTGACCTAAGCTAAAAAGGACATGCTCTGCATTCAGTTCCTCCTGGAAACACCACACAACGAGTTGAGCCCGCACCCATGCCCCGTTGAATGTGTCCACAGGGTCTGGAGTCGATGGGAGTTGAGATTGCCTTCAGCATCGTCAGTGGGGGGTGGGACTGGTAGAGCGGGAAGTGGCTCGTTCTGCAGGTGTGCCAAGTTTTGCAGTGCAACTTCTCCAGTGATCATCACAGCTGACCATTCAGGCTTGTGCTGCTAGCTCATGTCGAGGCACGGAAAGTGCCTAGGCCCGCTGCTTCGAGTTCCTAGTCCAGAAGTGGGCCTTTTGGTACCTACATAAGACAAAAATGAAGAACAATACAGCACAATTATTGTTTGAATAGAAAATGTGGGACTGGTTTGTGGAGTAGTGTATGTCCGATTAATGCTCAGACTACTGTTTTCGATAGAAAGTGGTGTGTATGATGACACTCTTCTTCAGATGTACACACAGCTTTTTATCGTGAGTGGATAACGTCTCTTCGCACACATCTTAAGCTTCAGAAAGTCTCTTTTAGATGGCTGCAGGCATCAGTCCGGTTTGGGTGGTATGCTGTAAGATATGGACTTTGGTACTAGTTGTATTTTCAGTACACTCTGCTGCTTGCCGAAGGATGTCAATCTGCGAATGGTATGGTATCGGCGTATGTTTCCTACATTATTGTATATTTCTGTGGACTCGTAAGCCGCGGTCTCATTTAAGCAACAAATGCCAAGAACCAACAAACAACCAACCTCAATGAACAACAAATGTTATTGAGCAGTGGGTGTTCACCGTGCAGTTTGGTTTACACGACACAAGCACATGCAGACACAAAAACTGTTTACATATGGGGCTGTTGTAGTTAACAATTGCACAGACAACTTACTGAATGCCACCAAATGAATGCTTTCATGTGTATGTAGAAAGCAAACATTCGCTCATCATTTTCAATTTTAATTTAATTTTATTTTAAGTTTTCATGTCTGATAATCTGACGATCAAAAAGGTTCATCTGGGATGAGACTGTGTTGCAACACACATCGTCTCATCCCACATTCACTGGAAATGTGTTTTGGTCATGATCATTCCTGCAAAGAGGGTGCGCTCGGGCCGCTACTATCATTGTGCTCGGTAACCCGATCGGGAGTTCGTTTTATTTTAACGTATTTCTGTGCTCTCACAAAAGTCGGCAACCATTTAATGACATTATTTTTTTCTTCATAAGAACGGGAGTATGTTCACGCTCGGTCGTGCTAACTGTCGCTGGATACAGATTTGTTTTAAAGTTTTGATTGATATCGTTACGTCAGAGTTTAGACCTACGATATCGCATCTCAGCGTACAGTTTGATTAATTAAGTTTGGCACTCCTAACGCAAACAACAGGGGTGAACTTACCTGCACGTTGATGGAGAGGTATCCATTTCTGTTTCGAGAACACTTCCACATCGGGACCGCCGCGTCCTCTTATCAATGCACCCAATCGCCCGTGGAAACTTCATTTCGCAGCAGCCCCGCACGAACGCATTGAAGTTCCCTGCGGGAGCTTCACCGAGCGGGTGAAAATAGTCCGTGCGAGCCGCGAAACTCGCTCCGCAATCCGGCACACAGTCGGCTGCGGCATGTTCACATGGTTCCCGTAACAACTTGGAACGTCCTGGCACCATAAAAGCTCAAAACAACGAGGAGCTGCAGCATCGTTGAGGGCGGATAGGCCCCGAGTACTCGCGCTCCTGGCAGAGACAGCAGAGTGCTCGCCGGTCGCCTTCGTGAAGCGGCACCGCACAGGAAATCCGCGGTCACTGAAGTGTTCCAGCGGGTTCAGGCGTTCTCTGAAACTTCGTCTCGTCACACGTCTCGATTCGCTGTCGCCTGCGTCATCGTAGAGGATCTCTTCTGCGCTTAAAACGAAGTGCACGAACTCCGCGAACGACTCGCCGGCCGCCATGACACCCCAAACTCGAGTCGAGGAGCGGCTCGAGGAAGCGCCGGACCTACCTTGAGATTCTCGAGGAAAGAGTCGAGTATTTCCTCGAGTCGAGGAGCGTTTGGAGTGGAGGTCGCTTTATGAAGCGCAAAACCGGCCTCGAGTGGAGTTTCGAGTCGAGTTTGAGTCGAGTTCGAGTCGAGGCCCGTTTATGAATTCGGCTGTCAAACCACGGAGATTGGCTCCTCCGTAGATTGGTCGTAAGTGCGCAGTGCGCATGCGCTGTGTATTCGCGTGGAAAAAAGGCGAGCAAACGAATGAGTGACGACGCCTGCCCGATCGCAATTCATAATACAAACGCGGCGAACGATTGGAAACCCTCTCAAATTTAGGCACACAATTTCTCTGTTCCGGTTCGTTCCGGATCAGAATTTGAGGCTTGCGGTTCCGAAAGGATGACGACGACAACTCGCCTGTTTCATCGGCGCGGTTAACGTGGTTTTCTGTTTGTGATCCTGGAGTCGCCGATTACTGTGTGTGTGGCAAGTGTTTTACATCGGCGCTTTAATTTGAAACGAGGGGCTTTACTCGTGAAATGAATTAGGCATATCGCGGAATTCCGGCCTCTTAACATTTCCTCTCTGGAAGCCGCGCAAACGGGATGTTTCGGTTGTGATTCAAGGTTAGATTGCTTCACGATCATGAGTAAATCTGCGTGCTATAAAGTTTGTGGCGTTCGTTACTTTTCTTTTTTCTAACCTGTGCGTTAGATTTTTGTGGAATTTTAGAGCCAAGAGGTGTTTCTCGCATGGTCTGTCGAACATCACGCGCGTCTTTGGTGGAATATATTGAATATTCAAGTGACCGAATACTAGGAATTCGATTCGCGAATCCAATTTTTTGGGGACTTTCTATTCGATTCGAATTCGTATATTCGAGTATTCGCACGCCCCTACTTTTTAAGAGCCAAAATGAGCACATCCACAACCAGCATATCTGCTAGATCATCAATCCGTGGGGATATGCACACCCATGTGAGGTGGATACGCATAAGGAGAACTAACCTCACCACCAATGCTCATTATCGCAACTATCTTTGTTCATGGTAATAGTACAAGCTCTATGACCAATCCTCGTACATGTCAGAGATTATGATGGCACTGAAAGGCACGGCAAGCTGGAAAAGACCACTTACTTCTTCTGTTCTCTCCAGGGCTGGGTAGCGGCGAAGAATGTCCTGAACAGACGGGTGCTCTGCCGCAACCCACTGCCGCCGTGAAGCAAATGTGCGAGACATACTGTCTTCAATCCTTTCCATATCGGGGATGTCTTTTTGCAGCTCCCTTTTCATCGACTTTATATGTCCCTCAATGCTGAAATCGTCCTCTCCAGCACCAAGCAGCAGCTTGTCAGGCTGGTCCAGAAAAAATGAAAGGCATAAAATTATTAGATACTATGTTGCAGTAGTTCTTTGAATTAGGCTCAGAAGTTAACATACTCGTGCAGCTTTGCTAATATTTAACCACCACCTCCCGCATCTTGACCTCGACTCTTTACCCCGATATCCTAGATCATCGCTCCTAAAAATCATTGAAGGCTCTCGTGGTTCTTTCGTAGAGATGGACTCTAGGCTGCGCTTCTTAACTGTTCAGTTGTTCTGGCAATTTTTTTTCCTTAAAAAGTTTTGCTGGTAGTTGAGTTGGTAGCTTTTTGTTTTGTTCTTCGTCCCGTAACAAGACTTCGGGAAAAAGCCAGGGGAATTGATAAGGGGATAAGGTTAAAGCGGGTTTTGAAAGCTGAGTATTTTGAGGACGGGGAATTCGCAGCGGGGATTTTGACACAGGTGTTTCGCAATTGGGTTATTTCATGCACTACCTGCGGCGAGCATGACATCGAGCTGTTCTGCCATGGGCAACACCAAAGGATGTCGGCTTTTCACGAGAGTCGTGCTAGCGTCCACTTTTGTTAGGCTGGTGAAGGTTTCTTTGGGAAAAAGCAAGAAAAATTATTGTCGCTGTGACACCATCACCAAAGTCAGTGGGAATGCTTCCTTACTAGACTGGACGAGTGCGTTGGGTAGGTCTATAGGGACCGTCAAATCCCCCCCGAGAAGTGAAAGTAAAAATAATGCTTTAGTTGTCCGACAGGAGCCTTCATTTTGGCGCCACAAACACACCCTACTGCACTTTTTCTTAGAAAAATTTCCCACTTCTACTGCATTCATGCTGATTAGAGCCACTCTACATGGCAGCTTTAGCTGCCATAGAGTGGTTCTAGTCAGCAGACAAAAAAGCACACAGTCAGAATACAGTACGCTATGCACCTCTATGTTCCGAGTTCCTTCCCCTGTTGTCCGTGTTTCTTTATGAGCGAATTTTCATCATATTTTAAGGTACCCGATTGCTAAGGACAGCTTTTAGCATTGGCCTTCACTAGGAGGTACCGTAGCTCGACCCTTTTTTCAATTTTTGAAAATCTGAAGTGGGGGGTCGACTTATAATTGAACCAATGCATTCCACCGTCAGCAAAAATGAAACATTCGCGATATCACAAACACCTCGGCTTGTTACGAGTTCAGCCGGCTGTACCTCTAGCATTGCACTATTCTGTGTGCTCATTTTACAGATTAATTATTTTTTTTATTTGCACGAACGAGTATTGATAGTGATTCACAAATAAACCCGAATATGCGGCGGTGAACAGCACACGGTACGCCCGACTCAGGGGGGTGACGGCACTTCTTGTAAGAGCCACTGCAGAGGCCGCTGGAACAGCTTCCCAGCTCATTCACCCCGCGGCTTCTCTTCGCAGTTTTTCGCACGATTCACGGTCGCACATCGTTTGATTGAGTGACGAGATCATGCTGGAGCACTAACTATGTTTATTTTGTATTGACACGGATGATCCGGACAGTTTAGGTTTTCAGTGCTCGTTTATGGCCATTCTTCACTTGGAAGCAACCAAAAACTGCGCTGTTGGACGCAAGTTCGACCCCTCGGAGCGGGTGACGCTCCAATGGAGTCTGCAGTGGCGTGGGATATTAAACTGTGACAGCAAACAAAGAGGCTTCCATTGGCCAAAGTTTGGATAGGTGGAGGTGCTTTCCGGGGTTGGAGGTCAGGCTTGCAACGTACGTCGCAAAAGTGTGCAATTGGTTCCTACCCGGGACGTCCAACGCGATCGCCGAGCAAGCGCGGAAGCTGCGGTTGATCCTGTCATTTGCGAAGTGCGAGATTTCGTTGGACGACTCGACGTGCTTCAAGGAAGTGGCAGTGATGATGACGGGACTGACAGCACCAGTGCGGACGAGTCGTAGTCTAGTCCCAGACGGAGTGAGAACGACAGAGAGCAGCTTCAGTTGTCCCGCCTGCAGCGTGAACTTCCTAGTTTCGGTAACGCCTGGGCATCTCATGCACCTTGAACGTGCATGCACAGCCAAAGCACGCTAGGAGGCATCGATCGCGTGTTAGAGGCTCGGCTTCCGAAACAGATACTTTGCCGTTCTCACGTGTTCTCAGTAAAATGCGCATCTACAGATTTTTATTTATTTATTTATTTATTGCTATTGTGCAATTGTGGGGTCGACTTACAATCGTGTAAATACAGTAAGGGTGAAAAGACCGTAAAATGCTTCTCCCTGAATATCCAGGTTCAAGAGAACACACCCATTGGTACAGATTCGTCTGGCGTCGCACCAGGCTCGAGGAGGAGGAGGAAAGAAGGAGGGCGAGGAGAAAAGAGGGAAGGAGAGAAGGGATAGAGAGAGAGAAGAGGAGGGGGTGAGGAGGAAGCTGGGAAAAAGCCCCCAAAAAGTCAGTTGTGAAAAAAAAAAAAGAAAAGGAAAGGGGGCATGCGATTGGGGACGTTCCCCGCCGATTTTTTGTGGGTACTGTAACAGATAATTGGGCCTATTTTTCGGGTTTTCAAGAACCTACTAAATTAATGGCTTTGATTTCGTAGAGCTGCTTTCTTAGCATTTAGCATTTAGGTTTCTTTTTTTTTAAATTTTGTTTCACAACTAAAATTATAGTCATTTTCGGCACTGGGTCAATCTTGGGTAAAAATTTGTTTCCCTAACTTATTTGAATGGGGCTGTTCCTATTCCGCTTACAAATCGCCACGGTGCACTGAGTCGAGGGTATTAAAATATTAACCCTATTCATTATAACAATAAGCGGCCAGCGTTTAGTCAAAAATTCAAATCGTCTGCTTCCCCGGAACAAATCGGCGGGGGACGTCCATAACCCCATGCCCCCCCCCCCCCCCCCCTCTTTTTTTTCACAACAAACGTTTCGGGGGGCCTTTCCCCAGTTTTATCCTTACCCCTTCCTCTTCTCTCTCTTACTCCTCTCCTTCCTTCTTTCCCCTCTCCCTCCTTCTTTCCTCCTCCTCCTCCAGCCTGGTGCGACGCCAGGCCGAATCTGTACCCACCCATCTCTTCTCTTCTCTTTTGGAATGCTCAGATAGGAGTGAAAAGGTTCATTCACCCGGCGGCAGACTCGCTTGGCACATTCATTGCCGTCTGCAGCCTCTTGGTTTCTTGGCTGCTTGCCAAACTTCTGCTTTTTGAGAGCAACCTCTCCGTCATCCGCAAACTTTGTGCGTTCATACTTGCACTTGAATTTTAGTGCATTGCGCCAGGAGCTCTGCATATTTTGGAACATAAAGAAATGTTGTTTGAAGTCAAGAGCAGAATAGTTTTACAAAGATATTGCTTTCCCTATCCAACTTTTGTACATGACTTGTGCAAGTTTCCCTGAGCAGGTTTATATTTTCCCAAACAAAAAAAAACAACCGATCATCGGTAAATATGTTTCTTCTCGTAGAGACCAGGTAAACCAAGAAAGCATAAGTACAAGGTACTTTAGACTTATGCAGATGCCAATCCACTTGTCACACAACTGTTGAAGGAATGTTTGGGATAACCTATATTACAATAGTATTAACTACCAAAAGAAAGACACAGCAGGAAAGACACAGCACGTCATTGATAAAGAGCTTGTGAGGAAAAGCGACAGCCATAACTGTGGCTGTCGCCATATTTGCGGCTGTGTATACACTGACAGTCTAGTCTGAACAGGAATGTCGCAAATCTCACGGCGCAATTTGTTCCAAGCAAGCACATATCCAAGTGGCACATATCCAAGCAGGCACATATCCCCCCTCCCCCCCGAAATCTTCCATTTTGCTGGGGCCTCCTCCCCCCCCCCCCCCCCCCCCCCCCCGAACCAAAATCCTGGCTACGTGCCTGGTTCCAACTACTAACGGACAGGACCGTGTAGCGGCAGCAGTTTAGATAAATTTAGCGCAAATGATCACAGCTCTGCCAGTGAGTTAGGCATATCCAGAAAGTACGAACTTACAACACTCTCCTCCGATAAGAGAGCCTATCAACAATTTTAGACTAAATAAATGCCACCAAAAGCGAATTCCACTTTTCAAGCCTGGCCACTTTACTCCACCACTGTGGTGACACGTTAGGTGACCCCCTTTCTGGAGCGTGGCTTCATTACCCACAATGCTTTACGTCCTTGTTGCATATCAGTGAGACACGGGAAAGGCACTGCTGGTAGCCCCGATTATTTAGTCAATTGAAAAAATGTCCCTAAAATTACTTCAGGAATCACTAATGAGTCGTTTATGAAATAGTTACATGCACTTTCCCACTTGCCCCCAGAAAATCTCCTGCTCATGGAAGTGACCTGCCACTCCACTCATAGAAATGACCTGCCACTATCGACAGGCTTTTTTCTTTTTTTGTGTGTGTATGCGTAAACAATGAAGCACATGAAGCATGCATGCTATTTGGGCAACTTTTCTCCATTCAACCTTGTCAGCTACTGACAAGCTTTTCTAACAAAAAATATTTGTCAGTTAGCTACTAGATAATATAAACACAATGAAAAGCGCTCAAATGAAACATACATGTCCCGTTCCGATTGCATCTTCCAGGATGCGGTGGCGTGCCACGAGCTGTCGGGCTGCCAGCTCATAGAGCTTGTCAGGATACCTAAAACCATAAAACACAGGACATGAAAGTGTGTCTAAATTAACTACATACCATGATGGGATCATATTGTGAGAAATGAAGTGACAGGAAAGGCAGCACAGAGCAGTTCTTTGTTGGCTCTCTGTCGTATCATGTGAAAAGATGAAATACAAACGTTGTAAAACACATTCACCAGAAGGCTTAGAAGAAATATGAATTTTTATTATAGACAAGCCTACCTGCGTCAACTAAATAGACAAGAAAGGTAGAGGTCATTGTGTAAGACGTATGCAGTGTCCCGAAATACAGTTGTCTCCATAATTCAAAATTTGCAAGAAATACTTGAAACTAAAAGGAGAGTGAACTGATTTTCCTATGTAAATTGAGCCTGCTTTCCACCTTGACTTCAAAGGCGAATAAGAAATCAAGTAGTTGTGACAAACAATCCTTTCGGAACTGGAAGTACTCAGTGGTGAGCCTTTGACAATTCACCAAATACCCACAATGACAAGGATTTAAACAATGAGAAACAAGGCAATTCCTTATTTGTGTTAGAATTTAAGTCTCCATGATGGCGTTGATTGGCTTCCCCAGCGGCACAAGGCTCATATCCAACTTTAAGTGCTGGATTCGGCTGACGTGCAATTCTACCTCAAAAGCATCAAGGTAAAAGGAAGTAAGCTTTGCAAAGAAGCGAAATAGTGCGCTTTTATTTTCAACGCAGAATGTGTTTGTCGCAGTAATGATTTGACATTGAGTGTTCGACCGTTCCGCCCTTTCATTCCACCTCCGCTTCCCACCCGTGTTCGCCCCCGATTCGGGGATAAAAGATATTTCTGCACCCCCAACAGGAGTCAAACCTACCTCACAGTCCGCAGCCCCATGTATGAAAAGGGCCCCTGACATTCAAAATATATATATTTTTTTTTGGAAAATCAGCTAAAAGAGTTTTAAGACACCATCCAAAAACTGCCTCACTCCAGAATCGCATACTACTTTTTGGTACAGATCCAAGAAGCGTCATACTCCGCTCGAGGAGGAGGAGGAGATGAGGGAAATTAGAGAGGAGGAAAAAAAGAGAGAGAAGAATTAGAGCGAGAGGGGGCGGTTGAGGAGGGAAGTTGTAATGCTACCCCAAAACTTTTTTTCAAAAAAGAAAAAAAGAAACAGAGGGAAAACGTGGAAATGCCGCCTGTTTTAGGGGACGGACAGCACTCGTCTCCCATTGTCCCTGACTTGCCCGCTGGCTACGTGTTTGTTCGCATCCGTTTTTTTCTTCTGAGTCTTTGCTATTGGCACCGTTTTTGGTGATCATGAAACGCACATGCGTGATGAATGGCTCCGTAGACTACAGAACTGAATAGGGTCGACAAGGGATGTATATGTACCGCACAAACCCTTGCTTAATATATGCATTCGGAGTCTTTGCGGCGGCACCTACTGAGGTCCAATTTCGGTTGCAGCCATGGCAAGATTCAGAATTCATTTTTTTCTAACAGAGCGAGCCGAGATATCGATCGCAAAGGATCCATTTGCTTTAAATGTCATTCATAGACAAAAACAGAACACGAAAACACCGCAAATCGTCTTCTTACGAACACAAAAAGGAAAGAAAAATGCATTGTCTGCTACGAACCGAGCACCGCAGTAAAAGCTCTCCGACTTTCCTCCTCAAAACCCTTTTTTTTTTCTCTAATACTCCTCTCCCTCCTGTCCTCCCCCTCCTCAAGCAGAGTACGACGCAGCTGGGATCTGTACCACTTTTTTAAATACAAGCCAGAAATATTAAACCCATTTCCAAGTGCGGTTATTTGGAGTAGTGAGACATCAAACCGTTCCTATGTGCTGCCAAAAGGGTCAGAGCAGTTAGGAGGAAACAATTCTCTTCTTCCTCAACCACTGTTACAGTGCCAAGAGGCGAATTAAATGAAACTTTGCCTGTGCTCAAAAAAGTATAAATAAAAAAAAAATGAAAAAGGCATATATGTTGGCTCACGGAGCTTCTGCTCCTCTGAGTGCAGGTGAAGTTTCGTTTTGCTTGCTTCTCGGAGCTGCAACACTGGCTGAAGAAAATGATTCTCTCCTTCCAACCTCTTAGGCCACAGGTGGAGACAGTGTGACGTCACTAATCGGGCGGGCACTTTGAAATGAAATTCATATTTCCATCTTTTATTAAAAATAAATGCAATTTTGAAGGGAAGCAATTTTTTTTACGGAGACTTGATACCCTAATTAGCAATCTCACATGAAAAATAAACTGTTGCTTTGTGAATCAGGGGCCCTTTAAACAGCGACCCACGAGAACAGCTAGGAAATACAAAGGTAAATAATATATGTACTGCGGGAGCCCGTTTCTTGCTTCTTCAGGTGAGCGTGAGGGGTTCTGCTAAATGACTCGCAAAACCCCAACGTCCTTTTTAAGCTATCACAAGGGGCACATAGCCATCCAGCTGCCCGAAATACTGGATGCTTTGCCTGCACAGAACCACCTAGAAGAATCAAAGCCTCTGCAGTTGAATTTCGACATCATCACAGTCAGATCAAGCGCAGACACAGACTGGACACGAGCGCTGTGCCAGCATTCGGCTGGCGGCCGTGTCCAGTCAATGCATCAAGGACGCTCAGAGTTGGGATCGGGGAAAATTATTGAGCTGGAGCCATCCGAGTTTGATGATTTTTCGTGGAGAGAGAGGAAGCCGTTTGGAAGCTTTGACTGTTCCAGGTCCCAGGCAGCAGAAGATATTGTGCCGACATTGGTCTCAGCATGGTTAAGGTGGCCCCATATGGGCCCAGCTTGACCAGTCTAGAGCCAGGATTCATGATGTCGGAACTAAACTGGCTACATGACGGCAACATTGGCCGTTCCTGCCAGCGTCCAACCAATATTGCGGCATCCCGGCTACATGACGGCAACATTGGCCGTTTCTGCCAGCTTACAAAAGATATTGCTGCATCCCGGCTACATGACGGCAACATTGGCCGTTTCTGCCAGCTTCCAAAAGATATTGCTGCATCCTGGCTACATAACGGCAACATTGGCCGTTTCTCCCAGCTTCCAAAAGATATTGCTGCATCCCGGCTAAATGACGGCCACATGACGGCAACATTTGCCGCTTCTGCCAGCTTCCAAAATATATTGCTGAAAATATATGAAGTTCTATATCGGGCTCTGTTTTGCAACCACCGAATGACGGCACTGCACCAGCCAAGTCGCGGCAACATCGCCGGGATTCTTCCATATGCACTAGGAATATTTAGACACATAAGCATTTTTGCCTATAAAACCTTAACCATCAGACTTTAAAACCTGAATTGATTGATGTTTCTTTCATCTTCGAGCGCTGCTCTTAGGCGTCCGTTTCTGGCTTGAGCGGCGTTGCCGTCGGCGTAACAGTAAAGCGTCGGCGTAACACATTTTCGTGACGCGCCACAAAAAAGCGTTACGCCGACGTGTTACGTGACGCGTCACGAAAAAGTGTTACGCGACGTCGACGCGTCACGAAAAAGCGTTACGTGGAAACGTTACGCGACGCCGATGCGTCACGAAAAAGCGTTACGCCTACGCGTTACGCGACGCCGAGGTGTCACGAAAAAGCGTTACGACTACGCGTTACGCGACGCCGAGGCGTCACGAAAAAGCGTTACGCTTACGCGTTACGCGACGCCGAGGCGTCACGAAAAAGCGTCACGCTGACGCCGAGAAGTCGTGGAACGCATCGTCATAACGTTTTTTTGGGACGCCTCGGCCTCGGCGTCGCGTAACGCTTTTTCGTAACACCTTGGCGTCGTGTAAGGCGTCCGCATAACGCTTTTTCGTGACGCGACGGCGTGATGCTTCTTCGTGACGCCTCGGCGTCGCGTAACACTTTTTCGTGACGCGTCGCCGTAACGCTTGTTTCTGACACCTCGGCGTCGTGTAACGCGTCGGCATAACGCTTTTTCGTGATGCGTCGGCGTAACGCTTTTTCGTGACACGTTCGCGTCGCGTAACGCTTTTTCCTCACGGCTTTGCGTCGCGTAACGAAAAAGCGTTACGCCGACGGCGACCGTAACGGTAGCCGTAACGCGTCGGCGTGACGCGTCGCCGTCGGCGTAACCGCGCGATGCATTATGGGAAACGTGCCATAATGCACCGCGGTGCCGCGCGTGTTGCATTATGGGACGTCTCCCACAATGCACCAAGCGAGAGGGAGGAGGAGGAGAAGGGGGAGGAGGGAGGAGAAGGAGGGACAAGGATGAAAAAGAGGCAGGAGGAAGAGGGCTCCCCCCTGACAGCTCCCCCCGCCTCCCCTCTACCTACGTCACTGGTGTATGAAAATCTCAAAATAACCCGCTGTTACTGAGCCCCGCAACTCAACCAAAGCTTCAGACAAAAAAAAAAAAAAAAAATAGAAATACAAATAATTTTTAAGCAAAACATAAAAACTCAAAACAAATATCTAATAATTAATTAAGATATTGCATATCCTCACATATAAAAAAAAATCAAGTTAAATTAAGATGTCGAACACCCTGTTCCTTTTTTTTTCTTTTTTGCACATAAGTTGACGTAGATTTCAGTCAGCAAACAAAGGTTATCATGGAACGTGTAGCAGGAGAAGAAGCTGGGACATTATCTCTGCTCGCCCAAAAAAATTGACTTCAAACTGCGTAGAGAACAAGATAACTCCTGTAATGGCTGGCCATGGTAGCGACACCGGCCACCGAAATATAAACTGCAGTAGAGTTGGGTCGAAACCGCAACTATATGCCGCGGTCGTATACTTGTCCGATCCAAAGCCACAGCCAATCCAAAGTCTAATCCAAAGCCACAAGCAGCTTCTGGAGTCTGGATTCTTTTCCGTCCCGTCTGTGCATACGAAGGCCTGTTTGAACCTTCAACGTGCGTGGGTCAAATGATTGTTTAGGTAAGTTTTCTCGATTTCATATTCATAATGCATGCCCGAAGAGTATCATCTACATGTGCTGGATGATCTTCCGAGCACCGTAGCTTACGTTGCCACCGTAATTCGGATGATACT